ATGCATGCATGCATGCATGCATGTATGCAGGGATGCATGTATGTATGTATGTATGTATGTATGTATGTATGTATGTATGTATGTATGTATGTATGTATGTCTGCATGTATATATAGTTATGTTTGGGCGAGAGAAAAGCAACATAACTGAGGAAGGGAGAATAATATATATACATATATATATATATATATATATATATCGAGAGAGAGAGAGAGAGAGAGAGAGAGAGAGAGAGGGGAGAGAGAGAGAGATATATATATATAGAGGGAGAGACACAGAGCGCACGAGCAGGTACTGCAGCGCCTTGTGCACGGGGTAGCAGTGGCCGTAGCAGCAGTTGGGCACCGTTGGCAGGGCGAGCGGGTGGTCCGGAACCGCCCCGAGCCTGCGAGGCCACCGGGCGGTGCCGCGTGGAGGAGGAGGCTGCTGGGGAGGGAGCACGGGGAACAACTATGTCGGGCGTGTCCCCCTGCTAGGGGGATTTTCGACGAAAAATCAAAAATGCCCCAAAAATGCCTCCAAAAGGTCAGAAAATACTGAAAAAGTAGTCCCCAGACTATTTTTTGACTATTTTTGATTATTTTTGGGGTACTTTTTAATCTCTGTCGAAAATCCACCCTGTATGGGGACAGGCCCGATTTAGGGGAACAACTGAAGAGCAGTCCGCCCCGGCCGAGCACGGGCTCGAAACGCGAGGAGGCGGCACCGCGCCAGAAGTGGGAGCGGGGACCGCGACGCGGAATCCGGGCCCGCCGGCAGGAGGGCGAGCCCGAGGAGCACAGGTCCGGGGCGGAGGAGGGCGGAGGGCGGAGGATCAAAGGCGCTCCCGCCCACACGGCCCGGCTGGCGTGTGCAGCGGAGGCCGGGCCACAAGAAGCCTTCCACGAGGAGCCCAACCCCGAGACCCCAGGGCGTCCGTCGATATTTGTGGTGCGGGAGCGTCGCGCCTTCCACGGCAAGGGCAGCGGAGCTCCAGACACCCAGGGCACCCTGGAGGCAAGCAGGAGGAGGAGGAGGAGGAGGAGGAGGAGGAGGAGGAGGAGGAGGAGGAGGAGGAGGGAGGAGGAGGAGGAGGAGGAGGAGGGAGGAGGAGGATGAGAGAGGCTGAGGAGGAAGAGGAGGGAGGAGGGTGTTGCTTGGCAGTGGCCCTCGGCCCGCTCTCTTCTCTTCGCCTCTCTCTCGCCTCTCGCTGCCTCAGGCGCCCGCCGGGCGTCATTTGTGGGCCTCGTGGCCCACGTCGGCCTTCGTTTGGCCACGACGCGCAAGTTCGCCCAGGGTAAAAAAAACAAGGAAGACCAGAGGACGACGAGGACGAAGAGCAGGGAGGCAGTGGAAGGGACGAGGAAAAAGGGGGCCTCTGGCGGCTCGAGGCGCCCGCGCGGCCAGCCGCGGCGTGCTCGGCACACACACACACGTCCGCACACGCACACAGACACACAGACACACAGACACACAGACACACAGACACACAGACACACAGACACACAGACACAGAGACACAGAGACACAGAGACACACAGACACACAGACACACAGACACACAGACACAGAGACACAGAGACACAGAGACACAGAGACACAGAGACACAGAGACACACAGACACACAGACACAGAGACACAGAGACACAGAGACACAGAGACACAGAGAGAGACACAGAGACACAGAGACACAGAGACACAGAGACACAGAGACACAGAGACACAGAGACACAGAGACACAGAGACACAGAGACACAGAGACACAGACACACAGAGACACAGAGACACAGAGACACAGAGACACAGAGACACAGAGACACAGAGACACAGAGACACAGAGACACAGAGACACAGAGACACAGAGACACAGACACAGACAGAGACAGACAGAGACACAGAGACACAGAGACACAGAGACACAGAGACACAGAGACACAGAGACAGAGACACAGAGACACACGACACACAGACACAGACACAGAGACACAGAGACAGACAGGGACACATAGACACAGAGAGACACAGAGACACAGAGACACAGAGACACAGAGACACAGAGACACAGAGACACAGAGACACAGAGACAGAGACACAGAGACACAGAGAGACACAGACAGACACAGAGACACACAGACACACGAGACAGAGACACAGAGACACACAGAGACACAGAGACACAGAGACACAGAGACGCAGAGACACAGAGACACAGAGACACAGAGACACAGAGGCACAGAGACACAGAGACACAGAGACACAGGGGCACAGGGGCACAGGGGCACAGAGACGCAGAGACGCAGAGACACAGAGACACAGAGACACAGAGACACAGAGACACAGGGGCACAGGGACACAGAGACACAGAGACACAGAGACACAGAGACACAGAGACACAGAGACACAGAGACACAGAGACACAGAGACACAGAGACACAGAGACACAGAGACACAGAGACACAGAGACACAGAGACACAGAGACACAGAGACACAGAGACACAGATACACAGAGACACAGAGAAACAGAGACACAGAGACACAGAGACACAGAGACACAGAGACACAGAGACACAGAGACACAGAGACACAGAGACACAGAGACACACAGTCACACCGACACACAGACACACAGACACACAGACACACAGACACACAGACACACAGACACACAGACACACAGACACACAGACACACAGACACACAGACACACAGACACACAGACACACAGACACACAGACACACAGACACACAGACACACAGACCCACAGACACACAGACACACAGACACACAGACACACAGACACACAGACACACAGACACACAGACAAAAAGACACGCATACACGCAGACACACAGACACACAAAAACACAGACACACAGACACACAGACACTCAAACACACCGACACACACAGCACCAGACACACAGACACACAGACACACAGACACACAGACACACAGACACACAGACACACAGCCACACAGCCACACAGACACACAGACACACAGAGAGACAGAAACACAGGCACACAGGCACACAGACACACAGACACACAGACACACAGACACACAGACACACAGACACACAGACACACAGACACACAGACACACAGAAACACAGACACACAGACACACAGACACACAGACACACAGACACACAGACACACAGACACACAGACACACAGACACACAGACACACAGACACCCAGACACACAGACACACAGACACACAGACACACAGACACACAGACACACAGACACACAGACACACAGACACACAGTCACACAGACACACAGACACACAGACACACAGACACACAGACACACAGACACACAGTCACACAGACACACAGCACCCGCGCCACGCGCACACGCGCACACGCGCACACGCGCACACGCGCACACTCCTCACAATAAGCGTCGCACACGCGCACAAACCGCAACACGCGCACACGCGCACCAGCTTAACGCACACAGCCGCTCACACCGGCACAACTCTCACGACGCGGCACACAGCGCACCCGCGCACACGCGCACTGACGCGTCACACAAAACATGCACGCACACACGCACACCACGCACCCTCGCGCCACCGCACGTACAGCACAACTCACACGCACGACGGGCCCAGAACGCACACGCACACGGCCTAGACATACCATAGCACATACCCAGTACCAGACACATACACGCACACACAAGACACACCCACCACTCGCGAGCGCGCAGCACAGACACACACACACACACACACACACACACACACACACACACACACACACACACACACACACACACACACACACACACACACACCACCGCCACCACCACCACCGCCATCACGCACGTACGCATCTGGCCCACCACCAAACCACCAAGACGCCACACCACGTCACACCACAGCACACGCGCACACACGCACACACACACTCACACACACGCACACATACACACACCACCACAACAACCACAACCACGCACACACGCACGCACGCACGCGCACCACCACCCACTACGCACACGCGCGCGGAACCACAGGTCCGCTACGACACGCGTCCGCGGATAGAGAAAATCAGCGCCATGGTAAGGGATGGGAGGGATGGGTAGGATGCCAGATGTTGACGCGAGCGCACCTAACTTGCCCCCACCCCTCTCCTCCCTCCTCCCTCCTCCCCTCCCTCGTCCCCTCCCTCCTCCCCCCTCCCTCCCTCCTCCCCCTCCCTCCCCTCCCCCCGTTCTGGGCATCCCCGCGCCCTGCCCCTCCCCTTCTCCGAGGGAGGGGCCCCCTTCTCCCCTCCTTGCTTCCTCAGCCGCCATGCCTCCTCCACTCCCTCCCCTCGATCCCCTCGATGCCTGCCTCCTCGTCCCTGCCTCCTCCCCTCCTCTCCCCCCGCCTGGCATGCATTGGGGCCGCCGTGCCCTGCAGGGTGGCGACACCAAGAAACTGGGCCCACTGAAGGAGTCCAGGCGCCCCAGTGCCATCTTGCCTGAAATCCTCTCGTCGACACCCTCCCCTCGATCTCCTCCCTCCCCTCGATCCCCTCGATCCTTTCCTCCTCCTCCCTGCCTCCTCAGACCCCCGACGTCATGATTGTTTTGTCAGAGCGCCGACCCGCAGAGGTCTGGACCCCTTCCCCAGGACCGGCTTCTCATCCTGCGTCGTTCTTTGACGGTCCCGAGGCCCGGCCAGGGCCCCCAGAGGCCGAAAATAGCGAAAAACACCACCCGCCGTGAGTTTTCGCAGCGCGAGGAGGTTTGGGTCCTCCCCTCCCCCCCCCCTCCCCTTCCCCGCCGAGCGGGGCCCATCTGCCCCTGCCCCCCGATCAGGATCAGTGATGATGAGAGCAGGAGGAGGAGTAGGAAGAAGAAGTGGAGTAGGAGGAAGAAGAGGAGGAGGAGGAGGAGGAAGAAGAGGAGGAGGAGCAGGAGGAGGAGCAGGAGGAGGAGGAGGACGAGGAGAAGGAGGAGGAGGAGAAGGAGGAGAAGGAGGAGGAGGAGGAGGAGGAGGAGGAGGAGCGCCGCCGAGGGCACGCTGGACCCGGCCGCCGTCCGGGCCGTTGTGGGGGAGGCGCCGCGGCGCCGCTCCGGTCGCGTTAGGTCGGGCATGTCCCTCTACAGGAGGAATATGAAAAAACAGTTCAAAAATAGTCGGGGACGATTTTGTTAGTACATGAATCTCTCTCTATATATGTATAGATATGTGTGTATACATATATATATATATATATGTATATATATACATATATATATATAAATATATGTATAATATGTATATATATATATATGTATATGCATATATACGTACACCATTGCGGCGTATTTGTTTAAACTGTGGCGTATTTGTTTTACTATGTTTAGTTTTTAGCTCAAAGCCCGCCTGTAGGAGGACATGCCCGACGTAGCGCTCGCGGCACCCCGGCCTCGCCCGCGCCCTGCCGCCGGACTCTCCAAGGCCCGACGCTCCAGCAAAAAGAGTGGAGCGGCAGGTTTTGTTGGCGCTGTTTGGGGGTCGTTTTCTGGCCGTTTTCGGCCGTTCTCGGTCGTTTTTTTTTGGGGGGGGGGGGAGCGTTTTTGGAATGTTTTTGGGTCGTTTTCTGGCCGTTTTCTGCCGTTCCTGTCTTTTTTTTTTTGGGGGGGGGGGGGGGGGGTCCGTTTTTTGGCCGTCTTCGGCCGTTTTCCGCCGCTTTTGCTGCCGTGTTCGGCCGTTTTTGGCTGCGTGTTCGGCCGTTCGCGGCCGTTTGGGGCCGCCAGCAGAACGATGCAGGACGAGAAGCGGGTGCCATAATTAGGGAAGTGGTGCTGACCTCCTAGGCGCCACCACCAGCACCACTAAGCCGTGCATCCGGTAGGACGCGTGGGCGGAAGAGCGCGCAATTGGCGACTCTTCAGAAGAACTGCAACCGAGAGCGAGAACGCTGAGCGCCCCACGACTGTGAAGCAGGCAGCGGAGCGCAACGCGACTGTGAAGCAGAAAAAGATGGAGCGGCCGGGCGTCTGCAGACTTGAGGCGTTCCGGACAGGGCCTCGCCTCCGAGGGTCGAAGGAGTTGTCGTCTCTGCCTCGGCGGAACGCTGCGGAAGCAAAACGGTGGCGGTTCCGTTCCGCCGGCGGCAGGACGGCGGACGGCTGGCGGAAGGCCGGCGGAAGTAAACATCGGCATCCCAAGAAATGGCAAGGTATTTCGACTCAGGGTTTCCGGAACCAGCCATACATTGCCAGAGCTCCTCGTGGATGTATTGTGTCGGCGCTGGCCATCTCGCGGCCGTCGTAGCCAATCTTTGGGCCGGATGCTTCACAGCCTTGAGCCCTCATTGGGGTCAACGGACTCTGTCAGGTTCCTAAACGAGCTTGTCAGGCGCGGTCCAGGGCGGGATGGGGGAGTCACTGTACAGTCGGGGCCCTGAAGAAGGAACCCTTTTCGTTGGGAGGGGCTCGGTGTTCCTTGATTGTTCTGCAGTTTGCCTTCGGTTTTCCTGAGGTTGTCCACTGGAAATCGAAGTTCAACTTGTGGGCAAAAGGGGCCTCGTTCCTTATTTATCGTTCCTTAGGTCAAGCCTCCGACTGTACCCCACATCTAACACGCCGCATGCCGTCCGCAAGCCTACACCTGGCACAGCTAACACTCCTATCGGTTATGTTCGTTCGCCCCGCTGCTCTCCATGGGCTGGGCGTGGCCGATCGCAGGGCGGTTGCCGCTTGGGCACTTCGGTGAGCACAGTGATGCCTTACAGTGAGCGGCTTGAATAAGGAACACTTACTTTTCAAGAGGGGCTCGGTCGTTCCTTAGGTTTGCATGCGTTACGTGTCGTTTCTTATGCGCTATTCCTTATTTATCGTTCCTTATGCGTTATTCCTTGGGCAAAGAGGGGCTTCGTTCCTTATTTCTCGTTCCTTAGGTCAGGCCGATGATTGTAGTCCCAGCCTCATTTCCGTGCTGGCGTTACCATCGAAGATCATGACTTGGAGTCTGTGCACTTGTCGCGGCAGGCCCGATTGGTCGGACGCGGCCAACACCTGCTGCTGTCCCATTTTGCCTTACTGCTGCCCTTGCTGCAAGGTTGTCAACACCTGTCCTCTCGTCCTCTTGCTGCCCCATTTTGCTCACCTCTCCTGCTTTCTCGCCTCCTCCTGCTGTCCCGCAGGGAAGTTGCTCTGTCGCTGGGCCAAGAGGGGGGCGGACAACCTGCGCTCCAGACGCCTCCTGCGAGACGACCGCTGACGACACTGCTGCTACTCTGCTCACCTTCCTCGTCTCTCCCCTCTATCGGTTTGCCTCTGCGCCGCCCCTTCCAGCGCGCCTTTTGCCCGCCCTGGCGCCTGAGCGAACACCGCAAGACTTATCTGCAGCCAAGCGCGCAACCGACCGTCGTCGCCCCCTTGCAGGAGGAAGCAGAGGGGGGAGGAGGGGCCAGGGGGGGGGAGCAGGAGGAGGGAGGAAGACGGAGGAGGAGGGAGGAGGGACAGGCTGAGGGAGGAGCAGCATGAGGAGGAGGAGGAGGAGGAGGAGGAGGAGGAGGAGGAGGAGGAGGAGGAGGAGGAGGAGGAGGAGGAGGAGGGAGGATGAAGAGGAGGAAATGGGCGGAAGTACGAGGGAGGACGGCGCAGGGAGGAGGAGAGGAGGAGAAGGAAGGAGAACAGCAGCAGGAGGAGGACGTGGAGGGCAGCAGCAGGAGAAGAAAACGACGACGGCGACGGCGACGGCGACGGTGACGGCGACGATGCCCACGACGACGGCAGCAGCCCCCCGCGCTGCGGTCCGGCCCCCCGCCCAGCGCGGCCGGCAAGGTGTGGAAAGAGTTCTCTCACCCCCTGGAGGAGGACGACGCCGGCGCTGCGGACGTGGACCCCCAGGCGACGCCGCTCGTCGCCGCTGCCGTCATCGCCGTCGTCGTCGGCGTCGGCGTCGGCGTCGGCGTCGTCGTCGGCGTCGTCTTCGTCGTCGTCGTCGTCGTCGCCGTTGCCGTCATCGTCGTTGTCCGCCTCCTCCTCCTCCTCCTCCTCCTTGTCCTCCCTTGTCCTCGTCTTCCTCCTCCTCCTCCTCCTTCTCCTCCTCCTCCTCCTCCGCCTCTTTATCCTCCCTCGCGAACTCCTTGGGCACGCTCGACCCCCCTCTATCCTCCCTGCTCCTCCTCCTTCGAGCTGTGGGCACTGCTGTCACGGATGCCTGTAACCCTCTACCTCGTCTTCTTCCTCGTCCTCCTCCTCCTCCTTTGACTGCGTCGAGACCTGTCGTCACCAACACATTGCACACTAATTCTTGTTTCAGCTGCCCCCTCCCCCCCCCAGCAGGTGAATAGTTGATCGGCGCACCTCAGTGGAAGCCTTTGCCTATCCCCCCCATCCTCCTCCTGCGACCGCTGGGGCCTTTCCAGAGGAGGGAGCAGGCTCAGGGCGGCCCCAGAGGCCGTCAGCAGGGCAAAACTCCCTGCAGGCCGCGGCGGGGCCGAGGGAGCAACGGCCAGAGCCGTTGCCCGACCAGCTGTCGAGGGCAGCGCTCCTCCTCTTCTTCCTCCTCCGAAGCAGGCCGCTCGAGATCTCGAGAATCGTTACAACATCTGGCGGATCGGCTTGTTCAGTTCCGGCGCGTTTTCGTGGCCAAGGTCGCCCCCCAGGGGCCGCTCCTGCGCCCCCGCAGCATGGACAGCACCTGTCCGGTGTGCAGAGAGACTGGTCCCAGGCAGTCTGCATGAAGCTCGCGGCCCACGGAGTGGGTTTTGGACGAAAAATCAAACATAGTCAAAACATATTCCTGAGTAGTCAAACATGATCGAGAATTCGCCCCCAGACTAGGTTGTTCTTTTTTTGAACATTCCTCCTGTAGAGGGGCATGTCCGACTTAACTCTAGGGCCCACGGACTGAAACATATTCAGTCGGAAGTGTGGGGATAGGGCGGGGGAGGTGGGGCACGCACAGGGGGCGCGAGTCGTCTCCACGTCGCCGGCCAATCGTGCCCCCTCCTGCGGTGCTGATTAGCCTTGTTTGCGCCCTCCTCCTCAAGGCAGTGCGGGAATTTGGAGAGCCCCCTCTTTCTTGTTCATGTCCCTGTCCTCCTCCTCACTCCCGCGTTCCCTCCTCCCCTTGTCCTCCCAGAATCCAGAACCTGGCAGCGCTCCCTCGTCAGAATTCCCACTCCCAGGACCCCGATGGAACCCACAAGACCCCCCAAAGTGACCCCCCATCCCAAATCACCACACCCCCTTCACGTATCTGCTCGTTCCTCCCCTGCTGGCTTCACGCAGGGCGGGATGCGCCATTCGCCCCTCTGCCTGCCCTGGCCGACCACTCCGAGCCATGGCGGACCACGCTTGTGCAGTCGCCCGGCCCTATCGTGTTGTTGGTCATCGTGTTGGCCCCTCTCTCTCACGGCCTGATCCGCTGGCTGTCACGGGAGATTTTCTTCCTCGTCGTGTGGCGGGCCTGCGCTCTTGGCAGACTCATCTTCCCCTCAGCTTGCTGTAGGGTGGTGGAATATTCAGCTGCGCGCGCCAAGAGGCAAGCTCACAGGATGCAAGCTTGCTTCGCCCAGCGGTGTTGCCGTGCACCAGAAATTCCTCCTGTGCCTGCCCCTCCCCCTCCCCTTCCTCCGCCTGCCCCTCCTCCTCCTCCTCCTCCTCCTCCTTCTCCTCCTCCTCCTCCTCCTCCTCCTCCTCCTCCCCCTGCTCCTCCTCCTTCTCCTCCTCCTCCTCTTCTTCCTCCTCCTCCCTCCTCCTCCTCCGCCCTCCTCCTCCTCCTCCTCCTCCTCCTCCTCCTCCTTCTCCTCCCCCTCTCCCCCTCCTGCTCCTCCTGCTCCTCCTCCTCCTCCTGCTCCTCCTTCTTCTCCTCCTTCCTCCTCTTCTTCTTCCTCCTCCTCTTCCTCTTCCTCCGACTCTCTTCCTCCCCCTTCTCCTTCTCCTCAACGCCTTCTCCTCCTCTACCCCCTCCCCTCGCACGACCTCAATCACCACGCACCACGCACCACGCACCACGCACGACGCACCACGCACCACGCACCACGCACCGCCCACCACGCACCACCCACCACGCACCATTCAACCCCTCCGACTGCGGCCTCTGGCGACCACCGCCGACGACCGCCGCCGCCCTCCGCCCTCATCCCCCCTTGCGCCCGGCAGGCGAAGCCCGTGCGCGGCCGCGGCCCCCTCGCCGAGGCGCGGCCCCCCCGCTCGGCGGCGTCTCGGCGGCCCTGCTCGCGGCCCCCTGGAGGCTCTTGCTGGGCGGCCAGCGGGGACCTTCCCAGACATCCCCGCGTCGTGGAAGAGTCTCGGCGCACGGTCTTCGAGGAGGAGGAGGAGGAGGAGGAAGGAGGAGGAGGAGGAAGGGGAGGAGGAGGAGGAGGAGGAGGAGGGAGGAGGAGGAGGAGGAGGATGAGGAGGGAGGAGGAGGAGAGGGGAGGAGGAGGGAGGAGGAGGATGAGAGGAGGAGGAGGAGGAGGAGGAGGAGGAGGAGGAGGAGGAGGGAGGAGGAGGAGGAGGGGGAGGAGGGGGAGTAGAGCCCAGGTTCGGCCCCGCGACCGTCCAGGAGCGCGTCGGGCGGAGGGGGCCGGTCCCGGGGAGCGGCCCCAGATTTCCGGGGGCCCACGCTGCGGGCAAGAGTCGTGACGTCGGAGGTCATCGGCGGCAGTGTGGCGGCCGTCGGCGGCAGCGATTACGACAGCGGCGACGGCGGCGGCCTTCGGCGACGGCGACGACGGCGACGTTGACGGCGGATCCACGACGACGACGACGACGACGACGACCATGGCGGATCGGCGGCGGCGGCGCCGCCGACGGGAAAGCTTGTTCCATATATCCCTCCCTCTCGTGATCCCCCCTCAGCCCTCAGCCCAGCCTGTGGGGATGCAAGGAGGAGGCGTCCCCTGCGAGAGGAATTGGTTTTGTGTAGAATGGGCTGTAAGATTTCATGGGCTGTGCGGATTTTGCGGGGGTTTCGCTCGACGAGCCCCGACAGGCCTTCACACACGCCGACAGGGTCGTCTGATGCCGCATAACTTATGTACACAACGCAGCCTACATCACATCGTTACAGTACACATCATACACAGCACTACAACGTTTACACAACATGTGTTGCACAATGCAGCTTGCACCACACAGGTTGTACCACGCATCTTGCACCACACATATTGCAAATCGAGAGTGCAGCAACCTTGTGTTAGGGGCCCACTCCTTCAAACGTCAGTCTCCGAGCAGTCTCTTTTGTTCTGAGGCCATGTCGTGGTATGCCTACAAGAATGCCTGGACGGCCGCTCTCTGCTTAACTCCTCGTCCACGCCCAGGTGATGACATTGTCGGAGGTCTTGCTGCAGCCTTCGTGGGCTCTCCCCGGGCTGTCGGTGGCTGTCCGAAAGACTGCAGCGCGACGACACGCGACGACGACGGCGACTGCTGCGACAACACCCACAACACATCGTCAAATAAGAACAACGAGCGACGGGCGGCGAGCGAGCGACGCTGGCGGCGACGGCGGCGGCGCCCGCGACGGATGAACGACGACGAGGCGAGGAGCGACGACGGCGACGACGACAGATCGACGACGAGGAGCGACGAGCGCGCCGCGGTGGCGGCGACGGCGACCGACGGCGGCGGCGGCGCGGGCGAGACCGGCCGGCGTTGGACGGCCCAGGGCGACGGCGAGGGGCCCTCGACGCCGCGGGGCAGGTCCCGGGACACCAAGGACTGTCCGCACTGCGCTCCTCCTCGGCTGCTCCGCCTTGGCCTCCTCCTCCTCCTCCTCCTCCGCCTCCTCCTGCTCCTCCTCGTCGTCCTCCTCCGCCTCCTCCTCCTCCTCCGGCCATGTCGCTCAAAGGCGGTGCCGCATGGCGCACGCATACGACAATGTAGCTCCTCTTCTTTTGATTTACAGGTTGCACTTTCATGATGATCTGACTGCTGGCCATTCTTCTGTATTCCACGACCATGCCTGCTTTGATAGTGGGGCGATACAACCCACTTCACGCGAGCTCCGTCGATCGCATGGTATGGCTTCTCGGACGGCCAATTTCGATGTGGTCTGTCAGAGACCGAGCAGAAGGTGGCGCTGGGTACTCGGCTTCGTCGGCGAGTGGTTCGAGGGCGGCACGTTATTATTGCGGTTTGGGCGGGTTCTCCTTCTGTGACGTCGTCAGCTGGGTGTGTGTGTCTAGTGTACGGGGATGTCGGATCAAAGCTGATGCTGTTATACTATGTGCATGTGCACGCTCACCTCTTCAGGGGCGCGGCTTGTTGTCGCGTGCGGAGTCGGGCCTCATGGACTTCACGGCAAACTCCTTGTATTTCCTTCCGCTGCCGACGGAGGTTGTGGCGATGGCGACGTACGACACTACCGTTGACAAGTTGATGCAGTGGGTCGGGAACGATCTGGCTCGCCTCCTTGCGCGTACCACACCAGTGTTCGGAGTCGACTTGAACGATGGCGTTGCGATGGTGAGTGGCAGTATGACGAGCTTCTTGGGACCGGATGGTGGCGAATCCTTCGTTAATTTCACGACCTTGCCAAGACAATTGCCTACTGCTCTTAAGAGTGCTCGACCATGAGCGAATCTGAGTCGCGAGCTGTAACTCATTTGCACGAAACGTGTTGGTGATCATGTGTTGGTGCCCGGGACCTTTCCTTATGTTCTTCTTCCTGGTGGCAGTTGTCACATGGTTCCAAACCGTGTGACATGGGGCATGGCTTCGCCCATGCGTGGCATCATGTGAGGATAGCGCCGTCGAGAGTTTATTCATTGCGTGGAATAGCGCATCGAGCGCGATACAGATTTAGCTTTTCGATTCCAACACTGTGCTATTGCCAATCACGCTTTTGACTATACCAATCGCGTTATCATGGAAGTGGATGCCTCGTTTGATTCGAAACTTGCTGTGCAACGGGATGGACTGAGTCCACAGACGGAGGAACGGGCACGGCTTCTGAATCGGCGTCGTGCGCTTCGCTTGCTCTTGGCTGATTCTTCTGTGGCCCGCGAGGGGGAAGCTCTGAATGAGGAATTGAAGGAGGCGAGCTGGGTTCGTCATGCACACCGAGCTCGTGACCAGCGTCGAGTTCAAACATGGCTCGTGCAGGAGGCGGGGGGAATTTGGAGACGTGGGATGATGGTGGAGGCGATTCGAATACGTCGACGGGCTCCGGGTTCCAGATTCGGACCAACAAGCGTGATTACGGAGCGGTGATGGGGACTTGTCGAAACTGGCGATGCGCTCTATGAGCAGTTTGCGATAATAGGGCCCACAGGTGGGAGATGCCTGCAGGGAAAGGTATGGACTGGAGCGAGCCTATACTTGTGGAGGACGATCAATGGAGAGGAAGCATGCTGCCGGGCAATTCCCAGATGTCTGAAGCCTGCGTTAGACATGGGTCAGACATGTTTCAAACACGTTCAGGACATGGTTGGAACATGCTTCCGACATGTCAAGCACGTGTCAAAGTCGATGGCAGGACTGGTAGGGTGCCCGCTGTCGTGGCCTCCTCACGTCTACGCGACCCCTTGGAGGCGGGCCGCGGCGCGCGCGGAGCTCGGCCCGTGCCTCGGCGGGCAGGGCCGCGCAGAGCCGTTCCCGAGGGGGGCCCTGCCTCCAGAGCTCTGGTGGCTGCTGCCTCGTCCAAATCGCCTGGCATCGCTCGGGCGTGCGCGCTTTTCCTCGGCGGGGATTTCTGAGGGGCATCCTGGATCACCCTGCGAGACAAAAAAACACGCAGGAAGCCGAAAAGGCACAGGGAGTGGGCGTCCGGACGACGGGGAGATCGCGGCTGTCCGCATTGCGGGCGCGGCGTCGGAGTTTCGCGAGGTGAGCTGTGCGCTCCTCTTGTTCCCTGGTCCTGTCCACGGGGATTCTGCTGGTATTCTTGCTTGTGGGCAAGCGCCACTTAGGTGGGGCCGCAGCAGGGGTGCACCTCTTCCTCGGATAGACGGATTACACAGCGCATGGATTTTCGGGGATCTGACCAGCGCTCACATCAGGATCACGGACTTGTTCCACAGCGTCGGCGGGAGGAGGCAATTCTGATTCAGCACATCGCGTCATGCGCACTTGTGCATCTCGGGCGGCCACACATTATTATCGCACACGACATAGCGAATGCGCTTGCTTCAAGTGCGTGGCCGTCTACAGTGGGAGCTCTTTCAGACATGTTGCGCGATGACCTGGGGGCTTCGGCGCTCGACGAACCTGCTGGGCTAAGGTCGCCCTGGCCAGCCACGTTGATCCTTCGACCTGGGTGCGGAGGCTGCATGGGCGACGCGTGCGCGGCGCGGTCGTTTGTGCGCGCCTTCTCTCCTGCAGTGGAGTCTTGGTGGTCTGAATTTTCTGAGAGGGGCCCTAAGAGTCGTGCGCTTGAGGCTCGCGATCCGTTACCGGGGGAGTTGCTTGATTTATCCTGAGCGAGGCGCGCAGGATGTTCGCCGAAGAAGCTCGCAGGGGGTCGCGCTGCGTCGGTCGCCGAGCTTGTCGCGCCCAGTAAGACTTCGATTTGGGCCTCAGACGAGGCGCTCGACGAGCGCGGGGGGTACTTCCAGAACATCACTGGACAAGATACTCTCGTCTCTCTTCGCGGGAGCGGAGCTGGTGCTGCTTATCGTTTGCGTCGAGATGGGGCGGTCCAGTTTCCCGGGGCGCTTTCCTCGGTCGGTCAGAGTTCGGGGGCTGCGAGGCGCGCCGCGGCTTGGCACGCGCCCGAGTCGTCATCGCGGCATGATGCTTTCAGGATATGGGCGGCGTGGCACGGAGTCTTCCCGGCCGCCCGCTGATGTCCCGCATCGGTCACGCGACGTCGACTAGACGTAAGAGTGACCTTCCGCCAGAGAGACCTTTGGCGCGGGCGCAGATGGGTCCCCAGATGGCTGAAAACGAAGCAATAGCAGCTGCTTGCGCGCCCAGGTTTGGCCCCCCCGCGGCCCCCGAAAGGTCGCGCTCCAAAGGTCACTCTTACCCGGGGTCGCTCTTACGTATAGCCGAACGGGGGGCCATGCGCATTTACAAAATTTGTAACGCAGCTTTTGTCTGGGATTGAAACCCGGGCCCCCACGACGCGAGAGTGGAACCCGGTTTTCTTCGGCAGCCCCTCCCCGCGCTCGGCGTGCTAAGCACGGGTAAGCATGATCGTGCGACCGTGGCGCTGCCGGTCCTCTTCGCAGCACGACTCATGCTGAAATCTTTCGATGGCGGCGTCTTTCTTCGTTGGGAAAGGAAGCGCGCGCGGGCGCCGCTGGCTGCAAGAACTAGTGCGGTCTCAGTCTCCACGTCGTGCGTGTCTTGCGGCACTGTTGGGAGATAGCTGTGCGAAATTTAATTTTACTGTGGGTGGTGTTTAGCTGATGATGCGAATCCTCGGGCAAACTGTTCCGGGCTGATCTGGGGGACTATCGAAAGCCGAAACTGGGGCCGTCTTGTGGGGGGAGCTCAGCGGGCACTTTAAGTTCGTGTTCGCTGATGAGTATTGTCGGGGCATGTTTCTGAATATCGACAACCAGGAGTTCCGCGGCCCGGCGATCGCAGTCGCTATTCTGCCGCGCTCATTGCAAAGTCGCTGGCTGAATCGGGGCGTGAACATATCGGCCCTGGCGGGGACAGGAAGATTTGCACATCTGTAATACAGATGTGCAAGGTGAGGCACGAACCAGGGGCAGGAGGCTAAGGCCAGCAGGGGCAAGATCAGGGCAAGTGGGCACGGCGAAAAAAAGACAAACCCTCATAAAATGTGTTAATGAGATCCGCGCCTAGCCCAGGTTATTTCTGGACCAGGTCCCTGCCCCTATGATGTATGTTACCTGAAGAGGGGGGGGGATATCGAGGGCGTCATGGGCATCGGACGTCGGGGCGTGCGTTGACCATGGATAACCGATGCCCTGCACGTGGCGCTGCGTTGTGGGAGCGTGTCTCATCAAGGGCTCCCACGAGGGCGCGAAGTTATTCGCGCTTCGCGCTTCGCGGTCCTCGTTCCTTCTCCCCCTCCTCCTCGTCCTCCTCTTCTCCCTCTGGGGGGGCGGCGCGAGAGCGCGAAGTTATTCGCGCTTCGCGCTTCGCGGAGCGCGAAGCGCGAAGTTGGGAGCCCTAGGATGCCCTGCACGTGACGCTGCGTTGTGGGGGCGTGTCTCATGCCGGCGGCATCTCGTTCAACCGATGCGTCGTGCGCATGGCGTGCCTTCAGAGCCCCGAATCATCAGGGGTAACTCGGGTCAGGGATAACTCGGGTTCGTTTTTTCGGGAACCCAAACCCGAGTTACCCCGGACCCGAGTTACCCCGGATAACTCGGGCGCCCAATGCCTGGCAGGTCTCGGACCGCGGCGTCTGCGGACATTCCAGCCGGCTTGCCGCGCGCAGTTCGTGACCTTGACGGTGCTGAGCCAATCCTGGCTCCCGGGGCGCCTTTCCGCGCGCCTTCTGATGGGCCTGTTTTCCACCACCACCACCATAAGTTGGATGATGAGGAGGACGACGACGAAGAGGAGGAGGAGGAGGCGGAGGACGAGGAGGACGAGGACGAGGAGGAGGAGGAGGTGGATGACCCCTTCCCCCTCCAACTTATGGTGGTGGTGGTGGAAAACATGCCCATCACCTTCGCCCTGCCCCGCTCGCTGCGCCGCCGGCCTCCTGCTCGCTCGCGCCGAGAGCCTTCTCGGGGCGGGCAGTCCGCCGGCCTGGGCTCTGCTGGGGCGGGGCCGCGAAGGTGCACGGTG